TGGGGGGGGGGGCAAATGTGAAGAGTTTCTTGCATTGGACTGGAATGTGATAAGGTATGTTAGCTCTCTGCCATTTTATCCAACTGACAGGAATATATACATTAACATCATCAGTACTGCACCAGTATCGTTGCTTCCTTCTGCTTTCAATCTCATCTGCCTGCACAAACCACACTGACATGCAGTGGTGAGAAGATACCACATAATTGGGCTTGCCTATACTTTCCCTCCATTCGAATATAACCAGAATATAATAGGAAGAACTTGTTGACAGACCACTCTGACCTGTAGAAGTCATGTCAGGATGACTTGGCACATTTTAGAATTCTCTGGCTTACAGTTTTGGGGAAATTGGGGTACAAAGGTATTTCCAAGGCCAGGATTGATATTTTCTGTAAGTCACCCCCATCTTAATCAAACTGAAATAAAATTAGCACTTGCAATCACAATGTTTATTAAATATAGGAATAGATAGCTCCCCAAATCCAAAGGCTAGATATGACCTTTTCTGGCCCACATCCTCTACCATGCTCCCACCTGTCTATTCCTAGGTACTAAAACTATAATAAATATGTTAAGGTGGAACCATATGGATACCTATGACTGCAAACAGCATAGTGGGTCTGGTATGTAGATACAGAACAACAGTGTAAATGGTGTATAGCTCGTTACCTTTTGATGCAAACATCCAAACATTGCATCTCCAATGGAATGACTTCCACTTTTGAATGCAAATGCCATACATATGGCATACTATTCACATTTTTTCATCTGCTCTAGAAGGTAAGTTATACATCAAGAAGAAGTGCTTCTGTCTTCCTACAGCCCAAGGCATAGTCGCCGACAAGGTTCAAGGACCACACAGGGAGTAACCAAGTGTCACCTGAACCCTTGCTTTTATGGTCACCTAAAATTTATCACTACAGGTGATATGGTCAGCTTTGCTGATGATAATCGTGCACCCCCAAACTCTTTGCTGCTTTGGTAAAAGCAGAATGCTACACAAAGATCTGGCATACAGGTGCTTGTAATGAATGCAAGATGGATCGACTTCAGGCTTACTTGTTTTACTACACGGCCCAATCATTAGCTTCTGGTTAGCCCATAAGCAAAGTATGACTTTGGCAGACACTCCAATTATTTGCCCCTGTACTTGATAATCAAAGATACAGATTTTCTGAATATAACTGTTTCATTTGCAGTTGATAGTGATCTGATAGACTTGTCCTTCCTGTACCTATACAGGTCTTTTGTTGGGCTGGAGCACAAAGTTCTATCCAACGCCTGTACTTGCTACCTGCAAAATGGAAATGCAGGTGTTGGCACAGGCCACATACCCACAAAGTTGTCTACTCTGCCAATTTTTCAGCTTTAGCTGTAGCAGAGGAAAAACAATGTAGTGTAGTACAGCCATCTGTCACAGATCATAGCAGTAACAGCTTCTCCAGGAAAGGAGTGAGCATGTTGTGCTAGTATCTAACATCCAACAAGTTTCATGGGGTCCAATAGAAAGTGGCATATTGCTTCACATGCAAGCCATGGAAAATTCCACAGCATCTTTAAGACTTGCTCATTTATGCAGTCTTAACAACCCACTTTACTCTGATGAAGCAAGTTACCACACACAAAATAGCTATAATGAGTTTGCTATAATGTCCAGAGACACCAAAGAACTGTTGTTTTTGCTGCAAAAGATTAAAATGCAACTTTCTTGTTATTTCATATCAAGTTGACTTAGGGACTTTCCACACAATCATATAACTCAGAATATTAAATCAGAAAATCCCACAATATCTGCTTTGAACTGGGTTACTGAGTCCACGCTGCCATATATTCCAATTCAAAGCAGATAATGTGGGATTTTATTCAGCTGTGTGCCTTAGACCTATGCCAATCTTCTGGAGGAAGCCTTCTAGAGTTCAGGTTATTGATAGCCCTATTCAGGTCTATGACTCAACTATCCTTTGTACAAGGGTACAGGTTGAGTATCCCTTGTCCAAAATGCTTGGGACCAGACGTATTTTGGATTTCTGATTCTTTTGGATTTTAGAATACCTGTATTTACATATTCATACATATAATCTAGAATCCCAGTCAAAACAACATGACATGCATTGCTACTTCATATATAGCCTGAAGGTAGAGATACAGTGTAATAATTTTGTGTTTCTTTAGGTCGAAAAGGTGGCACTTTCCCCCTCTCTGAGACTCCATCTACAGAGCCTTTTTTTCCCATGTCAGGTGCAACTTGAGAAACTGCAAGTCACTTCTGGTGTGAGAGAATTGGCTGTATGCAAGGACGTTGCCCAGAGGATGCCTGCGTGTTTTACCATCCTGTGGGAGGCTTCTCTCATGTCCCCATGAGAAGCTGAAGCTGACAGACAGGAGCTGTCTGTCAGCTCCCTGGATTTGAATTGCCGACCTTTCAATCAGCAGTCCTTCTGGCACAAGGGTTTAAACCAGTGGTTCCCAACCTGTGTCCTGTGGACCACCAGTGGCCCCAAGAATGAAAATATGGTCTGCAGCCTCACCTTTACTACACTGTTGCCTCAAAACCATATGGCAATGAGAGTGACTGGTCTAGTGAAACCCTCTTATAGTGCCAAGGCAACAGGGATGTCAAGAGTGGAGAGGCTGACTACCCACGAAAGATTGCGACTACCACATCAGCTCTAGATTATTAAATATGCTTTTCTGTGAGCGAGCAGATGGCGACTACTGGATGGCATATGTTCTGTATCAGAAACTAGAGCCGATGTAGTCTATCCAATGCAATTTTCTGAATCAGCACCCCAAATAACCCAACCGAATTTAAAGTTGACCAAAAATAGATTTGTCACTCTTTTGGTACTAATGTTGGAGAGTGGTCCCTGAACATAGTGGGTCTGGTGCAAAAAAAGGTTGGAAACCACTGGTATAAGGAAAGGTGTTTCTTGAGGTCAAAAAGGTGGTACTTTCCCTACTCTGAGGTGCCATTTACAGGGCCCTATAATGCTGTTGAACTGCATTATATGGCAGTGTAGACCAGGCAGTGGAGCCCCTCGGCGGCACAGTGGGTTAAACCACTGAGGTGCTGAACTTGCTGACCGAAACACTGGCGGTTTGAATCCAGGGAGTAGGGTGAGCTCCCGCTGTTACCCCAGATTCTGCCAACCTAGCAGTTTGAAAATATGTGAGTAGATCAATATTTATTTATTTATAGCATTTTTATCCCACTCTTTTCAGCCCAAAGGCGACTCAGGGCAGCATACAGGTCGGCAACAATTAGATGCCACAATGTACATACATGTAAATCAATTAAAAACATTTAATATTACATAATAAAAGTAATATAAAACCAATTAAAAACTTTAATAATCCGTATCTTCCAGTTCAACTCCTTATCCATTTGCATCGTTTAAGCCGTTCCGTGTTCATTATCTCATCATACTGTGTTAGGCTGCGTTTCCGAAAGCTTGCTCAAAGAGCCAGGTTTTTACTCTTTTTCAAAAGGTCAGGAGGGAGGGGGCTGATCTAATATCCCTAGGAAGAGAGTTCCACAGCTGAGGGGCCAACACTGAGAAGGCCCTGTTTTTTGTCCCTGCCAGACTGCCTACAAAGCAAGTGGAATCTAGAGCAGGGCCTCTCTAGACGATCTTAAATTCCTGGATAGTTTGTAAGGAGAGATAAGTTTGGACAGGTAAGCTGGGCCGGGACCGTTTAGGGCTTACAGTCTAAAGCCAGCACTTTGAATTGTGCTCGGTAGCAAACTGGGAGCCAGTGGAGCTGGCACAACAGTGGAATTGTATGTTTTCTGAGCATTGCACCCATTAGGTACAGCTTCTGAACGTATCTCCCTTTACAAACCACTGTGGAAACCAAGATCTTCTGGGGAGGCCCTGCTCTTGGTCCTGCCACCATTACAGGCGTGTTTGTTGGGGATGAGAGACAGGGCCTTCTCAGTAATTTCCCCCCCCCCCCCCCCGGTTATGGAACTCCCTTCCTGGCAATATTAGATCAGCCCTGTCCTTCTTGTCTTTCAGAAGGATGGTGAAGACCTGGCTGTGGGACCAAGCCTTTGGGGCAGTGCAGTGAGGCAAAATGGTGTCCTGAGATGGTTTTTAAGCAACTTTTAATGTGAATATAAGTGATTTTAATGTTTGCATATATTTATGGTTTTATGTCCCAGCATTGAATGTTTGCTGTATGTATGTTGTGCTCCGCCCTGAGTCCCCTACGAGGTGAGAAGAGTGGAATATAAATGTCTTGAATAAATAAATAATATAAGGAGCCTCCAAAGAGCCCCTGGTGGCGCAGTGGGTTAAAGCGCTGAGCTGCTGAGCTTGTTGACCAAAAGGTTGCAGGTTTGATTACAGGGAGTGGTGTGAGCTTCTGCTGTCAGCCCCAGCTTCTGCCAACCTAGCAGTTCGAAAACATGCAAATGTTTGATCAATAGGCACTGCTCTGGCGAGAAGGTAACGGTGTGCCATGCAGTAATGCTGGCCACATGACCTCAGAGGTATCTAAGGACAACGCTGGCTCTTTGGCTCAGAAATGGAGATGAGTACCAACCCCCAGAGTTGGACACGACTGGACTTAATGTCGGGGGGGGGGGGGACGTTTACCTTTACCAAAGGGCTGACATGCAGTCATGACCTTGGGCAATGCTGTCTCTTCAGCTTAGAAATGGAGATGAGCACCACCCCCAAAGTCTGACACCACTGGACTTAATGTCACCTTTCTCTTAGACCAGGCATGGGCCAACTTGGGTCCTCCAGGTGTTTTGGACTTCAACTCCTACAATGCCTAACAGCCTACTAGCTGTTCCAAGTGGGCCCATGCCTGGAGGAGATTCATAAGGCAGTTGGGAGCATTCTGTGGCAGTGTAGACGGAGCCTAAGATCGCCAGCCCGGTTCCGAAGAGGCGGGAAAGGGGCCTGAGAGGGAGGGAAGGAGGGCTGGAGGGAGGGGCAGCCCACGTGCCGCGCGCCTCGTCCCCCGCCCACGGCCCACGCGAGGGAAGCCGCCAATGACGGCGCGGGACCGGGAGGTAAACATGCCCACGGTGGCCTCCTCCTCCTCCGCCTGAGAGACACCGCCAAACACGCCACGGGGCGAAAGAAGCGGACCGCCAGTGAGTTGGGCAGCGCGGCGCGCTTTTCCTGCCCTGGTTGCTCTCTCCTCGGGACGGGGAAGCAGTTCACTTCCCGGACGGACATCCCTCGGAAAGGGAGACCCTCCTTCCCTCCCTTCTTCTTCCCTGAGGCTCGACGGGCGCCTCCCTCCTCTCTCTTCGGGACTTGAGAGGGCACTTGCCCTCCGGCTGTTGTTTCCCAGAGTGCGCGAAGGAGCCCTGCTTCGGGGCGGGATGTCCCCGCCGCCGCCTTTCCCTCCGCGCTTCCACCGGGGAGAAGGCGCCCAGCCGTAGAGGAGAGAGGTGAGTACGTGGGGGGCTCTTTCCTTCACCTTTCCCCACTGGCCTCTTCCTCTCCACGCGACGCATTTCCACCCCAGGAGCCGGCCGTCCTTCCCTTCCCTTCCCAAAAGCAACCACGAGAAACACGCAGCGGCTCTGCTCTCTCTGGAGGGAAGCGCGTCGGAAAACCAACTCTCCAAAAGTTGCTGCAAGGAAGAGCCTTGGGAAGGCGACAAGGATCTATCTCAGGTTTGGGGAAACTTTGAGTTTGCCTCCAGGTGTTTTGGACTTCAAGTCCCACCATTCCCAACAGCCTCAGGTCCTTTCCTTTTTCCCCTCAGCCGCTTAAGCTTAAGCGGCTGAGGGGAAAAAGGAAAGGTCCTGAGGCTGTTGGGAATGGTGGGACTTGAAGTCCAAAACACCTGGAGGCAAACTCAAAGTTTCCCCATGCCTGATCTATCTCTAAGCCTCACGATGGGGCCTGAATCTCTAACTTTGGGGGGAACATCCCCGTGCTTTCCTCCTTCCCGCATCCCCTCTCGGACTTTAAAGCTTCGGGTCTAAACTTTCCTCGCGTGGGACTTCCCAAGCTCGCCTTTTTTTATGTTCTGCCTTGCAGTTTGTGCTGCTGACGAGGCAGGAATCCCTCCGATTTCAGTTTCAGGTATTTTCCTTCGCTTCTGCGTTTGCTCTTGGGTGTAAACAAGGTGAAAGTCATCCCCAGCATCGCCTACAATGGGTAACTTCTTCCCCTCTTCTTGTGAGGGGAAGGGATACAGTGTATTGTCGAAGGCTTTCATGGGTTGTTGTGAGTTTTCCGGGCTCTATGGCCATGTTCCAGAAGCATTCTGGCTACCAGTATGGAAAAATATACCCACTAAAATCAGGACAGTAAATAAAGAGCAACAAAAAGCAAGGGAATTCCAGACAAGAATAATCAGGGCCAGCTAACACTCCCAACAATTGACCCCCCAGGCAGCAACCAGCCAGGCTTTGAAGCTGCAAGGCCATTCAGTGTTAATCAAGGTTGACCAATTGCAGCATTCACACTTTCCTTATTAATTCTAGCTCTTTTATTCTCCTTGCAGAAGGTGTTCATCATGTTTTGCCACTTTGTGATTTCTCCAGCTGAGATTTTAATAGGTAAACAAGATAAATAAAAGTTTATTTTAGGTAATATTTTCATTTTTATTAAAGCTATTCTACCGAACCATGACAATTAGAGCTTGGCAAATTTAGCCAACATTCACACTTTCCTCAAACAGACAAAATTTCTTTCTCCCACCCTGGACATTCCACAAATACATAAACCTCACTTGCCTAGTTTCCAACAGACCCCTCCATCTCTGAGGATGCCTGCCATAGATGCAGGTGAAATGTCTGGAGAGAATGCTTCTGGAGCATGGGCCATACAGCCTGGAAAACTCACAGCAACTCAGAAAATAGTGGTCTTAACAAAATGCAGCAAGCAGCCCAGGCAGGATGGGATGTTTTCATCAGAAAACACTTCCACATGGAGTTGCCTCTTGTGTCTGTTTCTCTTTGAATTTGTTTGCGTCCATTCCAGTGGGTGTTTGGTCACTTAGTTTATACTCTGCATGTCAGCAAGTGCTTCCAAAGGGTGGATTAAACCAGGAATATGAACATTCTTTTTAATTAATTTGTCATCATTTAATATTTAGTTCCCTATTAAACACCTCTCAACAAAGGATTTTCCCAGGCAGCAACCAACCAGGCTTTGAAACTTCAAGGCCATCAAATGCTAATCAAAGTGGCAAATGGCAACATTTATACATACCTCAAACAGACAAGAGTTCTTTCTCCCACCCTGGACTTCCCACAGATATTCAAACCTCACTTAATCAGTTTCCAACAGAGCCCTCGACCTCTGACGATGCCTGCCATAGATGTGGGGAAAACATCAGGAGAAAATGCTTCTGAAACATGGCCATACAGCCCAGAACACTCACAGCAACCCGTCTATGTAATTTGCATGTAAACAGAAGACACTCAAGATGCAAAAGTATTGCTAATAGTTGTGCAATACTGGAATTGTAGGATGGACTTTTGAAATTATTACTATTATTCTACTTCTCCTTTATGTACAGACTAATTATTGTGTTTTTTTTTTCAGTTAATAGAGAAAATGCAAATGGGTAAAGTGTGATTGAGTTTAATGTACTATTGCTTGCTTTTTAAAGCGTGCTGTCCTTCTCTCTGCATTCATCTCATTGGATGCTGTGAGGAGCTATTAGCATACAAAGTGGTGATTTTCCAAGGAAGCTTCCGCAATTAGCTATGTGGTTTTGTTACCTGTGTGAGAAGGCTACTGGAATGAAAGGCTGGTCAAGTTTTCATCTTGTGTTTGATTCAATCCATGGTCAGAGAACATAAATTAGTGTATTTTTTTATTCTGCAGAAACCATAGTAAATGGAGTATATTTCCATGCAGTCGGTAATTCATTTATTATATTTTAAATTATAATTTCAGTGCATTTGCAGTTTAGTGCATGTTAAGTTCTGCTATGTTTATTACTCTACGTCATCATTTTCCCCAGATTTTTTTTCTTCTATTTTCATTGGTTTGTTGGCTTTTTGAGGCACTTGCTGGGATCCAACCACTAATTTTTCTCTGGGTTGCTGTGAGTTTTCCAGACTGTATGGCCATGTTCCAGAAGGATTCTCTCCTGACATTTCGCCCACATCTCTGTTTTTATGAAGAGGATTTTTGTTGAAAGATTTTCCTCTTCTCTTGATCATTGGTAATTTATTTCATTCTGATTGGATTAAACCAGTAATGTAAACATTCTCCTTAATTAATTTGTCGTCATTTAATATTTAGTTGTATATAATTTGTGTGTAAACAGAACACGCTCAAGGTGCAAAAGTTTCCCTTTCCTAATTCATCTAATAATGGATAGCTTTAGTATACTCAGGAAATAAGAATACAGTGAAACACATGCTATAATATTTCAAACATGTAATTAGTAATTGTGTTACTAATTACATTTATAGAACATTAGTAAACAGGTGGATTTTGTTTTGTGATATGGTCAGGGTGAAAGCCAAAAAAATGAATTGCAAAGCAGCCAGAGTATTGCACAACAGTAATATTAAAATTGAAATCAGTGAATGCACAAAAAAGTATAGACTTACTACAAAAGGGGCAAAACTTCAATTCTTCAGGGACTGTGCACTTGGTAATTCACCTACACAATGTGTTTATAATTTTTCATTTCTTTACAGTAGAAAACTGCATTGGCATCAAATGGCAGAGAGCTCATGGATACAATTCTGAATCCTTTATTATTAACCACAGGTTTCTCCCTTATGCACTAGACCTGAAATAATTATGACCTAAATTCATGAGAAATCCATCTTTTAGGATGTATTCCTATGCACGCAAATTTACCAATTCTATTCATATTATTGAGACGTCTTTTCAAGGAGATCTTTTCGGGATGGGGACACTAATTTTTTGTGAGCTAGTGAGACGCAAACAAGAACACTTGTAGCAAATAAGCTTTTCAAAACTCAGTTTAATTACTCATCAATGGCATATGCTTGTGATAAGGTAGTTTATTACTGACTAGATTTTCAAGTGTAATAATAATAATAATAATAATAATAATAATAATTTATAGACCACCCTATCTCCCCGAAGGGATTCAGGGCGGTTTCCAACAAACATTCAATGCCTGGAAAAAGACATAATAACACATTGCATTGAAACAATGCACATCAAAGAAAATAGAAAGAAACAGGCCAACAGTAAATGTGCATTATTAAAAGAAGTTATATTGATGCACAGAACTTTTGCTTTTCCGTAACAACTGTATTTTGCCCTCCTGGAAGTGGAAATTAAATTGCAGGTTGGATAGATAACACTCAGTTCCTTATAATATATTCCGGTGGGGTTTTTTTTTTGCAAAGTTTTTATTTTAAAATATTAAAATGAGGACTTTTATGAACCCTGGCAAAAGCAGGTTTTCTTTTTTACTTGGGGAGTTTATTTGGCATAGTTTTATAAAGCAGCTGCTGATCATATTTCATAGAGCTGTTAAAGCACTTAAAACCTAAAATTAGGTACTGTCTGGTAGTAAATATTTCAAATCGCTGTTGCAGAAATAAGTGGAGAAGCGAGTCTTTAAAATCCATTGCTTAACACAACCAAGCTGTACTTTACATTTTGAAATTAAAAAACCATAACTAAATTAATTTGCTTCTTCATATAATATGATTTCTAGTTTTCTTTAATAGATAACTTTTCTATTGAGAGACTTAAACTCTTTTCATCATATGTTTATCTGGCAATGGTAAACATAAGATTTGGTCATTGCAAACCATCCTTCCTACTGCAAAGGGAAACATACTACCATAATATCACTGCTTAAACAATCTGTGGAACGAAAAGGAGCACATTCACCTGCTTCCTATGAGCGAGGCTTAACATATTCCCCAGAGTGTTAACTTTTCTCACATTTTCAAATCAGGGACCCACCAAGGGTTTTATGGAATAGTGGCTGATACTAACATATTTATTTTGCCTATTAACCAAAAGAAGAAGAATTAGAAATGCGCTGAAAATAAAAGCATTGTATTGGTCTTGCTCTGGGCTAAAACCTGACTTCCCTTTACTTGTCAAGCATTTAAAAACATATAAATCATCCTCATGCATCAGATTTAGTAGCAGCATCACACCCATTACAATATCCTACAATAATGCCATAAGGTTGCGCTATGTGGCTACCTTAGTAGCTGCCTGGACATTTGTCATGGAGGGCAAGATATAAACACATATCTATAATTATTGTTACTTCAGATGGGTTTTATCCATGCTTTTTCATTATTTTGCTAGACATTAATTTTCACAGTACATTTAAGAAGTGATATTAGGAGAGTATGTTACCTTTGTCTCAGTGGTTTGATTGTAAACAACACAGCTTTACAAGATCAACAATCATTTAAAAATAATACTACTGTCTATTGGTCAAGTAAATATTCCCCTTATTATTGAAATG